CAAAAATGAGAAGAGGTCCAGAAAGAAGGACTAACAAGGGGAGCAGGTGTGCTCTCCCACTGTGTGCCACCAGTCCCACCAAGAAGCTTCCTAACTTGTACAGACCTCCAGACACCCTTAGAGACTTCCCCTCTGATTAAGCAGCCCCAATGGTGTCTGGCATAATGCCTTCTTCTTTCATTCCTCCCCTTATCCCAAATTCCATTCCTGGACCTAAAGCAAAGTATTGAACTTTTGGGTTGTAAGCACTATACTTAACCCCCCTCCTTATCCAAAGGCCCTAGGAGAGCCTGTTTCCTCACGTAGAAAACAGGGGCAATAACCCTTTTAGTTCTGTTCAATAGAGCAAGATTGATGGCTGCCTCCTTTGTCCAGGCACTGTGCTAAAACACATCCCTGCCCTCAGGGAAGATGAAACAGCATAAGAAGTATCCCATTGGGAGAGTAGCAGACAGGTATTTTCAGGAGCAAGAGACAAACTCAACTCAAAGTGCCTTTAGCCAAGACAGTAATAAGCTTCAGGAATGGCTGTACCTAGGTTCTTAAATGATATCAGGAATCTACCTGTATTTTTCCTTGGCTCTAGTCTGGGACAGGATCTCCCCACAGTAGCAAAGATAGACCAGCAACTCCATGATTCTAGTGATTAAAATGGGCTTATTTCTCCATAAAACCAGCCAAGTTTCTAGGGCTGGCTCTCACTGACCCAGCCTCCTCTAAGCCCAGCACCAGTAATTGACTCAAGGGGGATGTTGTGCTCTCACTGGCCTGATCTGGATTACGCTTGTACCTGAAGGCCCCTGGTGGGGTGAGTTCCAACTGAACCACATGGACCGATGATGGGGGTGTCCCCTCCAAAAGAAAGTCAGGTGCTGGAACCAGAAGGGGAAGGTGCTGACCAGGGAATGTAGAGACACTGACCACAGAAATTGGTGGTCATGACTGACTCTGTAGTACATCTACCTGGATTCACATGCCAGTTCTATTTACTCATTCTGTAACTTTGGGCATGTTGCCCAGCACTTACGAGCATCAGCTTCATCTGTAAAATGGGGATAATTGTTCCTCTCATGGGGTTGTTGGGAGAATTAAACGAGTTAACGCAAGTTGTTGTGATTATGCATCCCTGTGTAACAACTTCCAGCTTAGTGGGGCTTTTTTGTAAAACAACAATCATTATCTTTCACAGTTCTGGAGTTTGTCTGGGCTTAGCTGGGTGGTTCTCCCTCAAGGTCTCTCATGCAACTGCAGGTAGTAGCTGGGGCTGGAGTCACCTTGAAGGCTTCCTCATTCACATATCTGGTGGTTGGTACCGGCTCTTGCCTTCAACCTCAGCTGTGGCTGTCAGCCAGAATAGCTACCCGTGGCCTATCCCAGCGGCTTGGGCTTCCTCATAGCGTGGCGTTTGGGTTCCCAAGGCAAGTGTGCCAAGAAAGAGAGCCAGGTGGAAGTTGTCTCACTTTTGACCACTTAGCCTTAGAAGTCACACAATGTCACCTCTGCTTTCTGTTCACTAATATGTGTCACTAAAGGCAGCTCCTACTCAAAAGGGAGGTGTCCTAGACTCCACCTCCTAATGGGAGGGATGTCAAATAAAATGCTCAGAAAATGCCTGGCATGTAATTAACACTCAATAAATGTAGGCATCATCCATGATCACTGTTGTTGTTGATGATGTCACATATGCACTGTTATTGTGACAAGGAGGATAAGCAGGCATTCAAGGAAGAGGAGTGAGATAAGCCTTTAAAGGGTCTCCAGGCAGAGGACCAAGCCACAGCAAAGGGCATTTCAAGCAGGCCTGAAGATTTCAGGTTCTGGGAACTCCCAGCTGCTTGGTGAGCCTGGAACAAAGCATGGGAGCTGGAGTCAAATCACAGAAGGCCTTGAATGCCAGGAGTAGGTGCTGTGAGCTGATGATAAGGGGTGTGACAGCCCCAGGTTTAAGCAGGGGAAGACCCATCAGACTGACACCCTTGCCTGCCACTTGCCAGCAGGTCAGGGCAGGGCTGAGACTGGAGGTGAGGGGCACCAGTGAGCACCTTGGGACAGGAACTGAAAGATGGGCAGAGGGGGTGAATGAGAGGGAATCAGAGGAATAACCCAGAAGGCTGTCCACTTGAAACTTTCAGGTTGCTATCAACCTCATTTTAAACAAGACCCTGAGGATCTTTGGCAGGTTTGGTGTGGGACTCAAGCTCCTCATTTCTAACTCCCTGGTGAACTTGATGCTGCTGGCCTGGGAACACCACTCAGAATAGCCAGGGATCCCTAGACATGTGTTAGAAGTATTCACCAGTTACACCAGCTGCAAGAAAAGAGGGGAACATTACCAATTCTTTCTTATCTTACAAGTCAAATTCTATCAGCAGTCAGAAGGGTCTATAATTTCAAGATGAACTGTAATTCTAATAATTCTGAGGGAAAGAGGCAAGGCTGAGGTACTCCACATTCGTAGCATAGAAAAGGGCAGAACCACAAATGGAATTAGGTTCTGTAACGTTTTGCAACTACAATGATAACCACAGGCTGAGGTGTGAATAGATATTTTCAGGTGGAAAAATGGGGTAGTCAGAGCTCCTCTCCAAGGCCCGCCCTCATCACCTCCGCTCCAGGTCCTTCATGCAGCTGGGTCCTCTCATCCCGGGGTCTCTGAACTTGCTCTTCCCACTGTCTAGAACCCCCTTCACCCTCCTGTTTTCTGTTCTGCCCCCTCAACCATCAGATCTTGGCCACTCAGGTCCTCAGACCCTACAAGCCCCAGGCCAGAGCTGGCCTCTGCATGTGCACTCCAAGGGCCCTCTGGTCCTCAATGGGAAGTTTAGGACCCTTTCTGGCTGGTCAGCACTGGCTTCCCCGTGTCCAGCACAGGACATGTACACAGTGCAGAGGTGCTCTGTTATGGGCTGAATCGTACCCCCTACTCCTGCTGCCAAAAAAAAAAGAAATTTCATGTTGAAGCTCTAACCCCCAGTACCTCAGAATGTAACTATATTTAAAGATAAACCTTTAGAGTCAGTAAGTAAAATGAGGTCCTATGGGCGGGTCCTAATCCAACATGACTGGAGTCCTCACAGAGATTAGGACACAGACACACAAACAGAAGACCATGTGAAGACAGGAAGATGGCTATCTACAACCCAAGGAGAGAAGCCTCAGAAGAGACCAATGGGGTCAGCGTTGGGGGGGGGGGCAGATGGGACACACAGCTCAGTGGTAGAGCACATGCTTAGCACATCCTGGGTTCAATCCCCAGTACTCCATTAAAATAAATAAATTTAAAAAAATCTAGCTACCCACCCCCCATAAAAATATAAAGAAAAAAAAAGAAAGCAGTCCTGTTCTGACGCCTTCATCTTGGACTTTTAGCTTCCAGAACTGTGAGGAAATTAAGTTGTATTGTTTCAGTCCCCTAGTCTATGACACTTTCCTATGACAGCTTTGGCAGACTAATACATGCTCCATGAATAATACTCCCACAATGCCCTTGGCTTCTGCCATCAGAGCATTTATTTAAAAAAACAAAAGACATTCCCTCTTCCTTTCCAGTAAAATCCCTCTGTTCAAGTCAAGGTAGTGGGGGGTGGAGTCAAGGGATGGGGATGGGAGTCTCTCCCTCCCTCCCAGGTACCTATTTTTGGCTCTTTACGCAAGGTATTCCATTCCCCTTGCCAGGGATTGCTTCAGATGTAGATGTATCCTACTTTCAGCCAGGAAGAGACAGAGTGGCTGCTTGGAGATGAGGCCTTTGGAGGTTGGGATGTGATGTCTGGGGCTGTGGCAGCCATCTTGGGACCATGAGAGGCAAAAAACAAAAACAAAAAAAAAACCTTTAACTGGCAAAATAGAAGATGGATTTAAAAAATGGTGTCTTTGATGTTGTTGAGCCACTTGACTTCCATACCTCTCATGGAGTGAGATAAACCTGTCCCAGTGCTGGCAAGACTGTGAAGGAAACAAGTGCTCACTTACATTGCTGGTGGGAGTGCCACTGAGTACAAGTCTCCACAGAGGGGAATTTGGAAATCTATCCCCAAATTACAAACCACATAGACCTTCTAACCCAGCAATCCTACCTCTGGGAATTTATCCTACAGATTAAAGTGTGAAAAATAATGGCAAACCTGTCACTCCCTGCTGTACACGTTTAACAGCAAGCTGGGGGACAACTCAATGTCTATTAAGAGATATTAAATAAACTATAGGACAGTCATGCCATGGAGGAATCTGCAGCTGTCATGGGAATGAGGAAGGTTTTTAGACACCTATTTGGAATTATCTCCAAAATATACCCAGTGAAAGGACTTATGTGCACAATCTAACGTATACTATTTCCATTTCTGTAAAAAAAAGAACCCTTCAGTTAAGATGTATCCATACGTACATTTGTAACATGCCAGGATAACTCCAGAAAGACCTAGAAGGTAGCTGCTATGGTCTGAGTATTTGTGTCCCCATCCAAATTCTTATGTTGAAATCCTACCCCCATAGAAGATGGTGTTTCGAGCGGGGCCTGAAGGAGGTGATTAGGTCATGAGTGTGGGGCTCTCACGAGTAGGATTAGGGACCCCACAGAGATTCCCCACCCCTTCCACCATGTGAGGACAGAGCAAGTCGGCAGTCTGAGACCTGGAGGAGAGCCCTCACCAAACCCCAATCATGTTCATAACCTGATCTTGGACTTCCAGCCTCCAAACTGAGCAGTAACTAGCTGTTGTTTACAAACCGCCAGGCTGTGGTATTTTGGTACAGCAGCCCCAAAAGGACAGACATCCCAGGAAGCCTACCACTGTGCTGAGAGTAGGATGGGAGGGAAGCTTCTCAACGTACTCCTTTCTAATTCTGCATTATACAAATATGTTGCACACTTTAAAAAGCAAATCAATCAATCAACCAGTGCCCATCCTTTATGTTCCAGAAGTCAGCAACTGGGTCCAGATGCAGATGGAGCATATTCCCACCCCTACATCTGGTCCCCAAGGAGAACCCCCACACTTAGGTTTCCTTCAACAATTTTAATCAAACGGGGGGGGGAGGTAAATGGGGTACAGACTGGCAACCTAGAGAGTGGTGGCTGACTCCAGGCCGCGCTCCTGGAAGTAGCGATGGGGGAGGCGGGGGCGGGTCCGGGGGCTTTCACTGAAGTAGGACTTGATCCTCCCGAGTCCCTCCTGATCCCCTGTCTGCGAGTCCTCCCTGTGGGAGAGAGGTGGTGACACTGACCATTTCTGGGGATCAGCCCTCCCAGCCAGGGCTGAGCCCTGGCCTCTCACCCTCCTTCCTCACAGCACCTCCAGGACACCTACCATGTAACGTCTTCTGCCTCTGTCTCCAGGATGCTCTGGGCTGTGCGCCAACTGAACCGGACAAACTGGGGGAAGCCGAACACAGGGTCCACGTGCTTCCTCAACCATGCTTTTGTCTTGGGATCTGAGGGAAGGGTACGGTGAACAATGTGATAGCCCTGAGCCCTGCCATAATGATGCAGCTTCTCAGCCTGGCACCTGTGGCCTGCCACCTCATCTCAGGCCTCCTCTGGAGTCCCTGAGGCACTACCCACTGTCTGAAACACCTTCCTACCTCAGGACCTTTGCACAGGCAGTTCCCCCTGACTCTCTAACCAATAGTTGCTCAAGGTACAGTTTAGGAAGACTACCTCTGAGACACCTCCTTTACTTCTCCAAGGACAACAGGCCTTAAGCCAGCATTTGTGGATCATGAGGGACTAGGGTAATACCCATTTCTCCCTGGTAACCACGAACACAGTGGGGACAGGGAGGTCCTTGTTTGTCTTGCTTATGGACAAATTCCCAGGGCTCAGCTCTGTAGGGCACATACCAGGTGCTGTTAGCACTGAACACTGCCCAATCTCTTTGGCCTGGACCAGGTTTCCTCACTTTGGCCTCACATACATTCCAACTACAGACTGGCTGGGCTGTGCCACCCAAGTGCCAGAGGGATCCTTAAATCCAGCCACTGAATCTTTGCATCTGCCCTTGTGTATCCTTGTAGGGGTGGGATGCCACGATCACTTCCACTTCACAGACAAGGAGATTGAGCCCCATAATGAAGAGAAACAATGGACTTAAGCTGGGGCCACTGGATGTGAAGCAGTATCCCCTCCCTGCTCCTTTCCCCTTAACAAATGGCCAGATACCTATGGTGGGGCTCGGTCCTTCACTGGGGCTCCAGAGACAGCAGAGGGAGGGAGGGAGAAGGGAAGACGGAGCCTGCCAGCTGGAATCCAGCTCTGCCACATGTTGGCTAAAAGTAGCCTCCAGCCACCACCACCCTGCCCCTTCTGGACCTCAGCCTCTCCTGCTACAGAACAGGGTGAGCAGAATAACTTAGAAAAGCTCAGAAGCACACCAGGCCTGCCTTTCTTAGTGTTACTGTCTCTATGTTATTGTCACTGCTGTCTGCTCACCATTGGGGTAGCCTGAGCCATAATCAGCGTCCAGGTCCTGCAGTTTTTCCACAAACTGCCAGTTCTTCACAGCCTGGTCACGGGCCACCTGCAGGCAAGACAGGCACTTGAGATCTCCCTCCCCATGAAACCACCACACCTGCCTCCTGCCCAGGGGGATGCTGGGAGCTGACCATGACCAGTGGGGGCCTAACCTTGGCACAGATACTGGCAGCGCTGACCACAGGGAAGAGGGCGTCTGCTTTGGCCTTGACTGTCACCTCAATGCCAGGAAAGCGCTGCTGAAGCCACTCCTGATATGTCTCTGGAGGCCCGACAGTGTCCACAAACACCTGCCACAGCGACAGAAATGTATTCATTGAACAACATCTGGAAAAACAACTGTGCAGGTGATCCAGTTTCAAGGCCTTTGCACTTGCTGTTCCCGCTGCGTGGAATACTCTTCTCTCAGCTGGTGCCCAGACTGTTATCTTTCTCCTGGGGTCTCAGCTCAAACATCACATCCCAAAGAGGCTTTTCCTGATCACACTATATCCATTCGACATTTATTGAAAACCTACTGCATGCCATAGTCTGCTCTAGGTGCTGGGGACACAGCAGCGAACATGCCAGACAAAAACCCCTAGCCTCATGGAGTGGACACTCTGGTGAGGGCCACAAACAAGAAACAGGATAAATAATAAAGCATAAGGGAGATCTTGAAGGGGTTACCATTTTTTAAATTTTGGGCCTGTTCAGGGAAGGTCACTGTGAACTGGTGCCATGCGAATAAAGATCTGAAAGAGATAAAGGAATGAGCTATGGAAAGATCTGGGAAAGAGTATTCTAGGCAGCGGGAACAGCTAGTGCAAAGGCCTTGAGGTGGGACCATATCAAATATGCTGAACAGGGGTACAGAGACCACATGGCTGGAACAGAGATGAGGTCAGAAAGGTAACAGGAAAAGTGATCTCCATAGCTGTTATTATTCTCAAAAATCATCTTTGTTATTTGTTTCCCAGCTGCTCGTCTCCCCTAACTTGGTCATGAACCCCTGAGGGCAGGGTCCTTGTCTGCTTCAGTTACTACATCGTCAGCTCCACATTCCAGTCCTGGACCTCAGCCACCTCCTCAGCAAGGCCTCCCTTTATACATTCTCTATCTCAAGTGCATGCATCCTTGGTATTCTTTCAAGACATTCTGTTCTTTGCCTCAGAGCACTTGATGCAATGCCAACTTACATTTCTCTCTGATGATTTAATCTCATTCCCCACTTGCCTGTGAATTTTCCTGATTTAACTTTCACTTTGATCAGAAAATTAAATGCCGAGATTTACATTTTAAAAAGACAACTGTCTGCTTCGTGGGGAACACACTGTAGGGGAGAGGGCTGGAGGAGGATGGGGCAGGCATCCAGGAGGGGAGGGTGCCCTGGGTTAGGACAGAGACTGTGGGCAGGTGAACAGATGGGGGATTTGTTCTGGACACTGAGCCTTTAAGACATGGAGACAGATGAGATGGAGGTGAGGCTGGGGGCTCCACTATGGTCCTCAGTGTGGCACACATTTAAGATAAGAAAAACAGTAGGACATCGACAGCGATAACAGATGTTCCTGAGGGACTCCAGGTATGTCTGATGCTGAATCATCCACTGCCCTTTTATACCCTAGTGAGGTGATCAAATGAGGGTAATCCAACAGTTAGCTTACCTGGGCCACTTTCACACCCTGGTCCAACGCATACCGCACCAGCTCAGTGGCTGTATCATGGGACAGGGAGTTCAGGTTGTATTTGACCCTGCGATGGGGAACAGAGCTCAGTCAACCTCGTTCCAGCCACCCATCCCTTCCAGCCCATGCTGGCTGCCCTTCCACCCCGGGGCCCCCCTCACCGCCCAAGCATGCTGGTAGAGATGAGGTTTGGAGACAGCACATCCAGTGCCCAGCCCACAAAGTCCCCGTCCTCCTCCATTTTCGCAAAGAGCCTGAACCGCTCGCTCTCCGACAGGGTCTTTGAGTCTGGGAGGAGGGTTGGGAGAGAAGGAAAGCGGCTAGTTCACCTAGTTTCTGCTCTCCCGCTCCAGCCTGTACCCGCCCCTGAATATGCCCAGGAGCCCCCCTCCCTAGATGTACCCCAGGGCTCACCTGCCACTTTCAGGGCTTCCAGATCTGCCAGGCGGGTCAGGGGGCAATAGCAGATGGCATAGACCATGGGCCCTGGGGAAGCGGAGGTCCAACAAGTGAGCCCATGAAAGTCGCCGTCCCTATTATTTCATTATCACCGCTATTTTTTGGAGCCATCACCAATGTCGTGGCCATCACCACTATTACCCCTCCCCTTCCCTGAGTCCGGTGCAATTCCGACTCCTGTTCCAGGGAAACTTGCATCCCCCTCATCACGCCCCTCCCCGACCCGGCCCTGGGGGCGCACCCAGCACAGGGCCCCGGCCCGCTTCATCGATGCCCAGTACGCAGGGCTCCTTGCGGCACACTGCGGGCACAGGTGAGTTCAGGCGACAGCGGCCCGTATTGTCTCTCTCCAGCTCGCTGAGATCCATGCTGCCTCTGCCGCCACGACCAGCCGCAGGAACGAGGTCTGCAAACAAAGGTCTTGCCGCGCGTTTTCCGCGGGCTCCGTAGCAGCGCTAGCTCTCGACCAATCGGCGCGTGGGACAAGCCCCCAACGTTCCCGCCGCCGTTGACGTTTGCGCAGCCGCCGCCGGTGCCGCTGCCGTGCTGCTTCCTGGGAATTGTAGTTCCGGGGACAAACAGCCGAGCTCTGGGTTTGGGGAACGGAGTGGGTGGGGTCGCTTTCCAAGCTTCGCCCCGGTGTCTCTGGAGCTTCGCCCGCCGGGGCTAGTGGGATGGGAGGGAAATAAAAGGGAAATTGAGGCGGGCCTTGGAGGACCCGATTCGGTCGGGGCCTAGAAGTTCAAATACCACTATACTCCTAGAATACGGTGTCTGTATCGCTGAATTCCTGTCCCCCATCGGGTTTCAGGCACTTTGTACTCGCGGTCCCTGCCACTCCACACAGTCTGAGACCCGTGGACTAGGAATCCCCGCTCCCATGGAGTTCAAACCTTCATTCTTGGAGTTCCCCAATTCCCCCTCTCTGTCGCTCATCCGGAGCGCCCCCCTCCCCTTGCCTGCTACCTACTCTCTCTCTCATTCGGGCTAAGACTCCCCGAACCAAGACCGCAGACCTCTAAAGACTCGGCTCAGAGTCTCCACCCACCACGCAGGCTCCTTCCCCCCAACTCGGGGTGCACCCCCATACCGCCCTTCTCCCTCTCTCTCCCCCATCTTAGCGAGACGCACGCCTCCTAGATTTGTCCACCGCGCTGCAGTCTCTTTCGATTCCCTGCTTTCAGCGGGGCTCACGCCCTCGGCCTGTGGATTTCTATTTCTCACCAGGGTCCCATTTCCTCCAGCTCCGTTTTCCCCTCTCCGGCCCCACAACCTTTCTTCCTTTCTCCTCGGATATCAGCGGGGCTCACATCTCCTGACTCAACTCTCCCATTCCACACTGCGATCAAGCCCCAGACTTCGTTTTCCTTTCCGGTGCCCGCTCTTACCCGCCCCCAACAGCCCTTTCCCCTCTCCCCGCCCACCCTGGGAACCCGCGGCCCCTGACTCGCCAGCCCTTCCCGCCCCACCTCCTCTGCGCCCGATTCTCACCCAGGCTCAGGGCCTCCAGCCGCAGTCGATTGGCTTGCAGGATGAACAATCTTGTTGCCGGCAGGGCCGCACCTGCACCAGATTCTCGCTGTCCATGAACACCGGGCCCGGCGCTGTGCCCAGCACCTCGCGGCTGCGCTCCTGCTTGCCCAGGTCGCAGAAACAGCGCCACTTTCCCCACGGGCCAAGGACAGAGTCTCCCAATTCTAAGGATGGAGGGCCAGGTAGAGGGGAACCTATTCCCTCCCCCTCTAGGGAGGGAGGAGGAGAAAGACACTAACACATAACAGCTGTTCACGTTTGCCAGGCTGTGCCTCTGCCAGTACCCCACCATAGATTATCTCATTTAATCTTCCCATTAGTCCCAGGTGAGGAAACTCATGGCTAGAGAGCAAGCCGCCCTTCCAAGCTCACATATCTGGTGAGTGGCCCAGAGAGACTGCAAAATAACACTTCCCACCTGTGCCTGCCTGTCCAGTTGGGAGTGTGGTACAACACACTTGGTGTCCACAATTTGAAGGTGACTCCTATCTCTTCAGGGGCGTGATCATGAGTCTGTCCAATGGACAAAGTGTCACCTGACCAGCAGCGTTGTCAGGTGGTAATTAAATGACATAACTGGCATAATGAAGGTACTTAAAGCCCCAGGCGATGTGCTCACATGTAATACAAAAACAATTATTGTGATCATTTTCAAAGCAGCTGCAACATTTATGAGAGGCTCTTTACAACTGTTCTTTTACTGATTCCTCCCTCCATAAGGCCTGAGTTGACAGGTCTTAGCCCAACTCTGGTTCACAAAGTCCTGACACCTCATGTACTCACCAAGCCTCAGCCAGACAATACTGGCCTCTTTCCATTCCCCTGTCAGGCCTTTGGCCTTGGCACTTGCTGTTCTGACTCCCTGGCGCACTCTTCCCCCTAAGTCTTCACATTTTCGTCTTTTGCTTGGCATCTGGCTGCACTGGTTATCTTTCTTCAGCCGGGCCTTCTCTGAGTTCAGAAGTTTACCTGCACCCTTCCTTCTCTATCTCCGCCCTTCCCAGTACTACCCATGACTTTAAGGGTATGTCTGCTTCGGTATTTATTGCCTGCCCGTGTCCCGTCTCCTTTGTAAGCTGCTTAAAGACAGTCTCTATCTCAATTTACAGGTGAGAAAACTAAGCCTCAGAGAAAAGTAACCAGCCAGAGGGGCGCCGCCAGTGCGCAGTTGGGCAGAGATTTGCAGTCCCTGGAGGAGGGTCTATTTGCAGCCACCTGGTGAAGTAGGAAAATGGGGCACCTTTCCGCACAGTCATACCCGCGGCCTGCGGTTACCTTTCTCCCGATGCTGCAGGCGCAGCTGCTCCCAGATGTCCCCTTCGCCCTGCTCGCCGAAGTAATGGTAGTCGGGGGAGACCTGGACAGGGGTCGCCAGCAGCAGGAGCATCAGAGGCGGCAGCAGTAGCGCCGCCCGGCTCCAGGCCATGCCCGACTCCAACCGACCCCGGCACGCTCCAAAGAGGAGCCCCGCGCGCAGTCTGCGGCGCCCCACACCACCCCCGCGGAAGGGTGCAGTGGTCTGGGCCCACGGCTCCTCGTCTCCCCCCGCGGCCCGCTGGCGCGTGGATGCGACCAGCCCCGCTTCCCCTCCCCTGCGGTTGCAGTGGACCCGACCGCCCGGCTCGTCCGCCCACCCCCCCGCCCTGCGCGTCATGGTTCGGGCCGGGCATAAAAGGCTCCGCGGCCCAGGGTGCACTTGGCGCTGAGAGAGCGAGTCCGCGCATCTGCTGCTCCGTGCGCCACGCCCTTGTCCACGCAGGTATGAACACCTCGAGTGCACCGGGCTGCCTCGATCCCCCTTGGAGCAGCCCAGGCTCCATCCAGGCCTCAGCGCTGGCTGTCTTTATTTTCCGCCCACCCTAGTGACTGCCTTTGTGCTTACGGGGAAAACCGAGGCCAGAGCCTTGGAATACAGGCCGCATCCCCAGGCTCCCCGCCCCCTGCTCGCGGCGTCTCCTGCTGGGCCGGTGGTCTTGCGCGGCCGCGCTCAGTCCGATGCACTAACAGGGGGCCGGGCGGCAGCTGTCCCGCCGCTCTTGCTGCCCAGGGGGGTGGATCTCCCAAAGTCTCAAGGCCGTGCGGACCTGGTGCCGGAGAGGGTGCAGGGCAGTGCTGCTCTGACTCAGTAACTGGGCCCAGCCCGCCTCGTGACCTTGGGGAGCGAGGACAAAGGGTCCTCCCGGGCGTACTGACCGGGAGGGGGTGGGTCTCAGCTTTCAGCCATGGCCTCAGGCAACGCGCACATCGGAAAGCACGCTCCGGAGTTCCAGGCCACCGCCGTGGTAGATGGCGCCTTCAAGGAGGTGAAGCTTTCAGACTACAGAGGTGAGGGCGATCTGGAGGGGAGCCTGGTGGGGGCGGAGCACAGGCATTAGAGGCACTGAGCCCTCACTCCTTGTCTATTCGCACCCTTCCCCCAGGGAAATACTTGGTTCTCTTTTTCTACCCGCTGGACTTCACCTTTGTCTGCCCCACGGAGATCATCGCTTTCAGTGAGCATGCTGAGGAGTTCCACAAGCTGGGCTGCGAGGTGCTGGGTGTCTCCGTCGACTCTCAGTTCACCCACCTGGCTTGGTATGAGTGGGGAGCAGCAAGGAAGGAGGGTGCAGCTAAACCTGCCCGTCTATAGGGTCAGAGCTGTGTGTTCTCGTGGCCAGTGTTCAATCTCTGTGCCTCCCTTTCGCATCTTGAAAATAATGGAAATAGTGATGTCCAAAGTCTTTAATGATAATGACAATAATTAGCATTTGGAAACTAGTCAGGAGGCCTAGAGAGTTGCAGATGTTTTATCTCACTTAGGGCAACACAGTCTCCCTCCCAAGAACTATTTCAATAAGGTGAAAACTCCAGTTCAAGAGAGTGAAGGGCTGGGCCCCAGAACACGGAGATAAAGATAGAAGGATGGGGACTAAGGCAGGTTCTCTGCCCCAAGATGCAGGCAGCCACAAGCACATGTGAAGCCATTTGCTAGAGTATTAGCTTAGTCTTCCCAGCTGGAGGAAACAGCCCCTGTACCCACTTCAGGGGGGGATGGGTGGGGCTCCCTAGGCCTTACTCCAAAGCCCCTTATCGCTCACCTCCAGCACTCCCTCTCCAGCCCTTATCACACCCAGGCCCGCATGGTGAGGACCTTGCTGTGCCAGGCATCCTGAGGTCCCAGCCCTGTCTTCTCCACCCCTAGGATCAACACCCCTCGGAAGGAGGGAGGCTTGGGCCCCCTGAACATCCCCCTGCTGGCTGATGTAACCAGAAGCTTGTCCCGTGATTATGGTGTGCTAAAGGAAGACGAGGGCATCGCATACAGGTACTGTAGCAGCCTCAGGAAGCCCCTGTCTTCAGGGTGTCAGGGTGAGGGGACCACTCTTGGGTGATGCCCTCCTTGCCCCTAACCCTGTGGCTAGCAGGAAGTCGGTACTCCCTCCCCTAGCCCTAATAGTGGGAGCCCCGGCTCCTCACTGTGAACCCTGGTATCTTAGGGGCCTCTTTATCATCGATGGCAAGGGTATCCTTCGCCAGATCACTATCAATGATTTGCCTGTGGGACGCTCCGTGGATGAGGCTCTGCGGCTGGTCCAGGCCTTCCAGTACACAGATGAGCATGGGGAAGGTGAGCAGACACACAGACATGTTCACACGTGGGTACCTATGCAGCCCCTCTGTCATGCGTGCGTACATTCATTGCCTGCTTATCACCCGTGTGGGATGGATGTGAGGGCCCCTAGAAGATTCAGCTCAAGGCCGGAAGCCAGGAAGTTTCTAGTCTGGTGGGGGAAATACCCCAATATGAGGCTGGGGAGCTGGGAGGTAATAGAAATCTATAGAAGGTATTTGAGAATGAGTGTCCCAAGGCAGGCTTTAATGTTAGTTGGATCAGAGTATCTTCTCATGTGAAGGACACAACCTGACCACAGCCAGGCCCTCGAAGTCCAGTGGGGCTGGGGCTGAGAGAGAAAGATGGGATGAAAGGAGCCAAAAAGGAAGTTAAAATGTCAGCCAGAAAATCCTGCAGCTGGGTTTGGAGGGCTTCTCATCATGCAGCATGGTCTTGGGCCTGGAACACTCGGCTCCAGGCTTTTTCTTCTGCAACTCATGCTCTTGCTTTGCCTATCTGTCCCCTCACTATGGCTCTACCTTGAATATGGCCCTTTAACCTCACATGTGCATCTCTTGTCTTTCCAGTCTGTCCTGCTGGCTGGAAGCCAGGCAGTGACACAATCAAGCCCAATGTGGACGACAGCAAGGAATATTTCTCCAAACACAACTAGGCTGGCAGACAGGTGGCAAACTTGGCTCTTGGCCCCCATCTGTGCCCCTATCTGGGTGCCTTGCGCTGACCCAGGAAAGGCCAGACCTGCCCCCCTTCAGACTCTACAGTCCATGGCCCTAAAGGGCTAGGCCAAGGCCTTCTCACGCTCCCAGCTGGGAGCTGGTGAATGGTGACCCCCTCCCAGGGCACAGGCCTAGAGGTGACCAATAAAGTGTTCGGGACAGTTAAGTCTGTGTTCGTGTGGTTTGTCCTGGTGTGGTAGCACACCACTCCCCGCCCCCTTTCTCCAGGCTCTGGTCTGGGAAACTGACTGTAGTTACTGATCTCCACCACAAGGTGGCAGTCGCACCTCACGCTCAGCGCTTACTCTTCCTCTTTTTCCTTGGCCTGAAGGCAGTTGGGGGGTGAGGAAGGTGGCGCTGTTTGCCCCTTGCAGGGGGAGCAAGTCCCAGGCTGCCTTACAACCTGAAACCTGGCTACTCAGGGCAGCACTCGCACCTTGCCAACAACCAGCTTGGGTTCAAATGCTTCTTAAGAGCTGTGATCTTCCCTGGGTCTCTTCAACAGCAAATTGGGAATAAAGACAACCAACCCACATCACTATACACGTTAAAAGGGATCTAAAAGTATGTGAAGAGCAGGGCCCTGTTAATGGTTATTAGGACCAGGTCCCTGGGGCTGAAAGAAGGTGGGGACTCAATCCTGAGAGCAGAACCAAGAGTGGGAACTTGATGTACACACACAGTCCCTCCTGCAAGTTCTGCCCCACCCCAGACTGGAAGGGCTTTCCATCTACCCCGGGAGTGGAAGGATGAGAGTTAAGCTGGAAGGCAGGTGTTAGGAGCAAGACAGTGTTAGAAGGAGTGCAGTTTGATGCTGTGCATGTTCAGGTGAGTGGCTTTACCACTCTAAGCCCCCATTTCCTTCCACAGAACAAGATTGATAAGTGTATTTAATCCATAGGCCCATTATTAATATTGCTACCCACCCTAATATGCTCCAAGGTCACTCTTCTCAGCCTTGGAGTTTTATCTACACTCCCCAAGGCCCTGCGTGGTCTTCCCTGACCTCGTCTCTCCCTGGTTCACTCCATTGCAGCACACTGGCTTCTTGCTGTTCTTTAACAGGCTGATTTGATCAGGCCACAGGAACTTTGCATGTGCCGTTCCCAATGCCCATAGAGCTGTTACTCAGGATTCTCGGGGCTCGACTTCAAATCTGAAAAATCACTTCATTAAAGGTTCATACTCCCCAACCATTCTCCAAAGCAGCTCACCTCTCCTGCCCCATCACTACTACTTTGACCAGTATTTTCTCTTCCTAGCACTTACCACCATCTCCGAATCATGTTTGCTTGTTTATTGTCTGCCCTGGTCCAGGAGTGACACCAAGGCCAGGTTGTTCAGTATTTTATAAATGAATTAATAAAGCGTCTGTTTTAACCCACCTCGCCCCTGTGGCCTGGTTTCTTGGCCTGTGTTTTCCTCTGCTGCTCTGGGGGCCTCCAGCTCCGAAGCCAACCAGACCCCCTCGGGGCTCACCAGCCTCCCTCCACCCGTCCCAGCTACCAGGGAAGCAGCCCCACGCGAGGGCGGCGGCGGCGCCCGGCGGCCCAAGCAGCCGCCCCGGCAGGACCAGACCTGGCAGTCGCCCCGCTCCAGGCCTGGCACCCGGGAGGGGAAACTGGCAGACGGGCACCGCCCTTCCTGGCGGGGGTGGGGGGACCGCCGCAGTCACGACGCGCAGGCAACTGCAACCCCCTGCCCGGGTCAGGTCAGACGGAGCGGGCGTGGGCGCGGCAGGGCCCAGGCGCCAGCCCGATGTGGGGAGGATCTGGGGTGGCTCCCAGAGCTCAGGAGCGCGGCCCGCCCACCGCGGACGCTCTGGACCCAGGCCTGGGGCTTTCCGGGCCTCGGCAGCGTTCTGCCTGGGAAAATCCCGGCCCCCTTCCCGGCGCCGCGGCCCTGCCCGGCAGAGCGGGGGAGGGGATTCCCGGAATCTGCCCAGAGACCGCCGTCGCGTCACTGGGCAGAATCGGCCCATGTTTGGACAGCGCTTCCGCTGCGTCAGCGGGGAAAGCCCCGGCGCGCGCGACTGGGCGGGGCCGCGCCCGCGCACTGCGCGTTTCGCCCCAGGCATCCCGGCCTCTGGTGCTGGCCGGCTGGACCGCGTAACCGCCCTGGACCTCCCAACCTGGAAGATGAGGGGACGCAAGAAGGGTTGGACACCTGAACTGGGGCCGCAAGATGCCTGAACAGAGCTGGCGAGGATGACACAGATACTAGAACGAGGCACAAACAGCAGTGGGGTGGGGGCCGCCCAGTACTCTTCCCTCCGCCCGCCCGGCTTGGAAAAAAAGACAACAAATTAATAAAGAACCTTTTTTTTCTTTACTTAAATAGATTCAATAAAAAGTCCGAACAACAAACGCACACACACACACAAACACATCAAAATAAACTCTTTAGATAACAAGTGCGTGTTTCTTTTCCACAGTACGTTGCAGAGGGGGAGGGCAGGGGGCGGAGGTCCCCTCCCCAGTATCCCCGCGGGCTTGAGTACCAGGCGGCGGGGCCAGCTCCGCCGCAATCGCCCCCTCCTCCCCTCCCTGTTAAATACACAAATATATTATATCCAATATGAATTGAGTCTTTCCAGCAAGAAAAAAAAATACAAAAAACGTGGAAGGGGGGCTTGTAAACGTCGAGGTGGAAGGACTGGGCGCAGAGCGGGCGAGCAGGAGTCCAGTGTGGTTTGCGGCGCCCCCAGGTCCCAAGGCCGGTGCCCACCGCCTGCCCCCTTGCCCCATGGGAGGCGGGCGCCCAGCCGTCCAGGCTGGGGAAATGTCCGTACAGAGGGGGTAAGGGGGGCGCTCAGAAGGCGTGTCCCTTGACCCCAAGCAGCAGCTGGCAGCCGTTGCTGACGTGGGTCATGACCTTCTGTTTGAGCTGGGCCACCTGCTCCCGGAGGAGGCCGGCAGTGCTGGACAGCCCCGCGTTCTCGGCCTTGAGTGTCTTCACCTTGTCCTCCAGGCGCGCGATACGCTCCAGCTTCCGCTTCCGGCACTTAGTGGCCGCCAGCCGGTTCCGCAGCCGCTTACGCTCTACTTTGATGCGCTCCTGGTCTTCCATGTTGATGGGGGACACTGGCGGCGTGGCGTCGCGACTGCGCGCCTCAGGCACGGTCTGCGGTTCCTCCTTGAAGGTGGAGGCGCCGCGGCCCAGGCCCAGCTGCGCAGGGTGGCCACCGGCGAAGGGCGGCGCGTGTGGGAGGTAGCTGATGGTGGCCGTCGGGTATGAGCTCCCAGTGCCGACGGCGGTCCCGGCGCCTCCGGAGGGTGCAGAGGCTGGAGAATAGCTGCTGAGGTTGGTGTAGACGGGAGGCGGCTCCGGGCCGGCGTAGACACCCGCGGGCCCGGCCGGGGGACCCCCGCTGGCGCCCAGGGACACGTTGGGGGGTGTCACGTGGTTCATCTTGTGCAGGTCGTCCAGGGCTTTTACAAAGCCGTCGGCGAAGCCTTCCTGCTCCTCGGTGACGCCGCCCCCTGCGCCCCCCGCACCTCCACCGCTGCCACCCCCGCGGGGGTAAAAGTACTGTCCCGGAGGCGTGGGCGTTGTCGTGATCACGCCGTTGCTGTTGGGGACGATCAGGCGCTCCAGCTCCGATGAGGCCAGCTTGAGCGACGCGACTGTGTCTGAGCCCTGGCCGGAAAAGTAGCTGCCGCCACCGCTGCCCTCTGGGCCGGGACCCCGCGCCCCGGGTGCTTTGAGATTTCGGTAGGGGTCGGCCAGGTTGAGCGCCAGGCTGGGTTTCAGGAGTTTGTAGTCGTGTAGAG